GGATGTAGTTACAGACAGTTTTCCTGCACTGATTTACAGGGTAAACACTGGTTCACCATTCCACTGATTTTGTGACACAAAAAGTATTACATCGACTCCCCTCTTGGTATATGGGAACATGAAGTGTCCAAGGTTCCCATTGCATATACTGGAGACATGGATAATAATAATTCATTTAAAGTGCTAAACCCATCTGGGTCATTCAGCACAAAACATGGAGGCTTGATCCTCCGTCTGCTAAGTGTAAGACAGACGCGATTCCTGTTTGTGTTCACCTATACCACCCCTGAGAAATACAGAATATCCAGGGATTTCCATAATATGGAACACACGGGGGGAATGGGGCTAGGGTTCACAGTGCATTTTTGGGACATACGGGAAGTTCAGGGGTTCTCATGACATACATGAGAGACACGGAGGGCCTATTGGCCCTCTAAGGCATAGTTGGAAAACATGAAGAGTTCTGAGTCCCTTCACAACTAACCTAAAAGAAGCCCAGTACTTCTTCATAACTCTACATGGAAGGACCTCACACCATGAGCTTGGTCTAAAGATGAACATTTTACCTCGACTTGTTAGGTACAAGGACACAAGTGGAACTAATGTGACATTTTATTGTCGCAACGTTTCGCTCGTTGCCACAATAAAATATCACATTAGTTGCACTTGTGTCTTTTTACCTAACATATTGTCGGTAATTCTACCAACATTACAACAATTTACCTCGGCTTGTCCAGATGCTGGCCTATGTTCCTCATCCTCACTTCACCTAGCAATTACCTCTCCACTTCTACTGACTCCAGCAGTAAAATCATCTCTTTATTCGACTGAAGAAGCTTGTTGTGCAGATGAAAACTTTCAGCAATAAAGACACCTAAGTGTTGCACATGTGCCTTATTTGTCAAGTGCAGAACCTGCACCAGAAAATGAAGGATCTCAACAGATCCGCCTGACTTGCATAATTTGATAACACTGCAAATACTTCTAGCTCACAGATACACTGACTCAGCCAGTAAGTTTATATATACACTGACTCAACCACGAAGTATCCAAGTATTCCTCAGGTACCTACCTGGTAGACACGGAGTGTCCAGGCTCCGGTTTCCATGACTCCGCAAGTGACAGAGAAAAAGGAAGGCATCTCGACTCTCTCCCCGTCTGCGTTAGGCTGGACCAGGTCTGCGTTCCAGTGGTCTGTCTTGCGCTCCTCACACCTGTAACGCCACGCATGTGTTACCTGCGGCCAGGACTACCTCCTAAGCTGCGCCCTCGTGCGGACCCCCAGCCGCCAGCCAACTGCCACGCAATAGTAAGTAGAGTCCGCGCTCACTCTCAGTTACCCTGGCCTCGCCTCGCGATTGAGACCAGGCTCGTGGTGGATCAAGAGTCTGATAACCAGGCTGGTACTGCTTGGCTGCACGTAATAACCGCCATACGAACCATAGCCCAGCTGGCAGGTTACTGACCTTGGAGTGGTCTGATCCGCACCTGCTTGATGACAGAACAGGGGTCTTTTGGGTAATTCCCCTTTAAAATTTGTTTATGCTAAGATGCAGTTGAACAGTCTTGGGTCCCAGACACTTACTGTGTTGTCTCTTAGCGTATTCGTGGCGCCCCTGCTTTTCATTGGGGGAATGTTGCATCTCCTGCCGAGTATTTTACTTTCGTAGGGAGTGATTTTCGTGTGTAGGTTTGGTACTCATCCCTCTTGGATTTTCTAAGTGTATATTGTCATGTATCCTTCTCCTGCGTTCCAGGGAATACAACTGTTCCCAGTAATTTAGGTGCTTTATCGTACTTATGTGTGCCGTGAATGTACTCTGTACATTCTCCAGGTAAGTAATTTCGCCTGCCTTGAAGGAGGCAGTTAGTGTACTGAGGTATTCCAGCCAAGAGAGCACAAGAAATTTGAAAAGAATCATCATACGCTTAGCATCCCTAGTTTTGAAGGTTCTCATTATCCATCCTATCATTCTTCTAGCAGATGCGGTAGATACATCGTTATGGACTTTGAGAGATCATTATCACTCCCAGGTCCTTCACATTACTTTTTCGTCTTATTGTATGGTTAGAATTTGTTGTATACCCTGATACAGTTTCAATTTCCTAAAGTTTTCCATATCTGAGTAGTTGAAATTTCTCTTCATTGAACTTCATATTGTCTTGAGTGGCCCATTTGAAGATTTAGTTGGTGTCCGCTTGGAGTCTCGCAGTGTCTTCGACGGAGGTCACTGTCATGGCAACTCAGGTGTCATCCGGTAAGGAAGACATGATGATAACTTTAGTCCAGCCTCTAAATTGTTGATACCTACAGACCCTGATTACCATAGTCTATTCATAACTTGTTACATAGCTAAGTTTATCTAAAATTCAAATTCAACTAAAAGAGAGAGAAAAAAGAGGCACTTTAAAATTTCTTTATTTTCCATATTGTATTGCAGTAAAGTTGAGTATATATATAACTTATAATTTAGACAAGAGTTAGTTAAATAATCACGTATGTTACATCAGCAGCAACACCATGGACACCACTAACAATTTTTGACAACGTTTCGAGACTTTATTTTTTTTTTCAAGAAATTTAAATTTGTTGTAAGTTAAAAATGAAATTGCCTTATAATTATAAGCATAAAAGGTGGCAGGAGTTCTTACTATATTTGGTGGGGGGTTCGGGGGGTCAACGCCCCGTGACGAGGCCTCGCGGTGGATCAGGGTCTGATCAACCAGGCTGCTACTGCTGGCCGCACGTAAACTGACGTACGAACCACAGCCCGGCTGATCAGGAAGTGACTTAAGGTGCCTGTCCAGTGCCTTCTTGAAGACAGCCAGGGGTCTATTAGCAATCCCTGGGAGGCAGTTGAACAATCTTGGTTCCCTGACACTTACTGTGGTGTCTCTTAGCGTACTCGTGGAGCAGCTTTCATTAAGGAACTGTTGCATTGCTTGTCCAGTCGTTTTGCTTTCGTAGGGAGTGAGTCTCGTGTACAGATTTGGGACTAGCCCTTCTAGGATTTTCCAAGTGTATATTATCGTGTATCTTTCTCGCCTGCGTTGCAAGGAGTACAAACCAAGTAATTTAGGTGCTTTATCGTACCTATTCTCAAGGTCTGCAATTTTGCTTGCCTTGAAAGGGTCTGTTTGTGTATATGAATATTCAGCCTAGATAGAATAAGCGATATGAAGAGAATCATCATGGTCTTGGCGTCCCTAGTTTTGAAGGTTCTCATTATCCATCCTATAATTTTCCGAGCAGATGTGGTAGATACATTGTTGAAATCTTTGAAAGTGGGATTCTCTAACATTATCACTCCCAGGTCTTTCACATTAGTTTTTTGCTCTATTGCGTGGTGGGAATTTGCTTTATACCGTTTTAATTTCCTCGAGTTTTCCATAGTAGAGTAATTGAAATTTGTTTTCATTGAACTTCACATTGTTTTCTGCGGCCCATGTAACTGTCATGTAAATTCGCATATCATGGGCAGAGGACACAGCGCTGTGGGTCACATATGTCAGGTATAAAGCTGACGAACACAATGGAAGCGAGTAATGTACTTCGTTGAACAGAACTTTTCACTGTAGCCGCCTCTGACTTTACTCTGTTTACTATTACTCTTGTGTTCTAGTTGTTAGGAAATTATAGATCCATATATCCACTTTTCCTGTTATTCATTTATCACGCATTTTGTGCGTTATTACATCATGATCGCACTTGTCGCAGTCTGTGTATACTACGTCTGCATTTTGTTCGTCTCGTCAAAATATGGCTTAAGATGGTGAATACACAGCGCTTCCGTGTGTCTCAGTTCCATGTCTGAAAATCACATATGCTAGGTTAGGTTAGGTAAGGTTTGTCAGGAAATAGGACAGGTGTTTCCTGACGGGGGACTCAGTCATGTGATAACCCGCAGCTGGAGCTTTTGGTCATCTGACCGAGGCCTTCAGCTGGCTTACCTCTCTACCCCTTTAAAAATTATTATGATTACATCCATTTAATTAAGTTATTTATATCATAAAACATATGGAAGCCTGCCTGCTTCCATATTCTTTTTTACTTATATGGTTATTTTATTTTCAAATTTAGACTTATAATATTTTAAATGTTTCTTAGAAAAATCTTAATTTTACACTTTTTTCAATTCTGGATATTCTTTCGTTTTATAGATCCGAAAATGAGAATAGAATGTCTCGAAACGTCAAAAAAAATGAGTTTATTATCCTCTGCGTACCAGGTTACTGATGTAGTTACACGTTTTAATGATTCAGTCATTTTACTACTGTCGTATTTAGCTGCTATCAGTTGACAGAGCGACATCAAACTCAACTTTAAACATTTAAAAGATAAAGAATATTAACGAATGCCTCGCCAGAAATGTCTTGGTCGTCCACGTAAATTCATCAGTACTATATGATAAAAATCTGTATTTGACCCCAATGTAAATAAGTCACTTTATTGACTATTTTTGAGGTTATCTTAGGTAATTTACATATACGTTACTGTGTGACAGCATCATTAATTAAACATTAGTTTGATGTTACCTTCCATAAATATTATCATACTATACATGGAGAACTTTCAAAACAGCTGGATACCTTACAATGATCAGATGAGTTTGTTATGTATGATAACTATGTAACCTGTACCTAAATAAACTTACTTACCTAAGTTATGTACCTCGCACCTCCGACTTAAACTTGTTTTCTCTTATTTTTTTTATATATAGTAGAAAACAAACTGCATCGTCGACTTAAAGGGGAGGCTTATATATATTGCATTCCAATCTTGTGATCCCCCACTCCAGTCAGCCCAAGACTGTCGTCCACTCCAACAAAATCTCGTCTTCTCTTCTTGGGTTAACCGGTCACCCAGGTTGAGCTGCACTGCTCTAATACGATCTACGTGGAACCCGTAGATGGTGCACCCAGAGTGGATTGCAGTGGCAGCGGCAGCAGCAACCTCCAAGCTCCGTACTTTTCTCCAACTATCAGAGCCACCAATGCTCCTATGATGACCTAGTTACAAGCAAAACTGCACTACCCAACGTAGCACCCAGAATGACCAAAGATTACCAACAGTGAAACCTACAAATCGAAAATATTAGAGATCAAAGGAAGACTGCCCACAAACCGAAAGCAACACCCCGCTGCCAGCCGAACAACGTAACCCTAAGCCTTGTATAAATACAACTTCTTCTTAACTACAACAATTCCTGTAGTATTATGAGGCACAATCTAAGAGGAAACAGCACCAAGGCCAGCAAGAAAACACCGAAAAATCAACTATTCAACAAGTGTAGCCAAGAGGACGCCGGCTCAGCAACCACCCCACTTACCACCGCTCAAGGCGACACCACAACAGTAACAACAAACATGGCTGCCACCAGCCCATCCTCCCCTCTCTTCCCCGGATTCAACCTTCCAAGTAGTCTCTCAGGTATGACCAACGATCCTGATACCCTAAAGACATGCATCTCCAACTTAGTTATTGAAAATATGAATCTTCGAGAGACACTAACAAAACAAGACACCAGGATGACACAACTCGAGAACAAAATCCTCAGTCTTGAACAAAAGTTATCAACACCAGGAATGACTAACTGTGACAAGACCATCCAAACAGTCATAGATAGCCATACCCAACAAATAATATCTCTTAATACAAAGGTTGAAGAAGCAGTAAAAGAATGGAAAGAACAACTTAGATAACCAGTTCAGTGGACTACTTTGCTCTCCAAGAAGATAAAAACTGAACAAGATAAACTATCGGACGCAGTAATAGTTAACAGTCCACTTTTTCCCAGTGATATGAACCAAACAAACAGTAAAGAAATTTACTCTGCAGATCATAAAGGACCAAACAAGTGTTATTGTACCAGAGTCAGAAATAAAAGAAGCCAGTTTACTAGGATCCCATGGTAGAAAAAGTGTTATGCTTAGATTCCACTCACATGACAGGAAAAAAGACTTAATTATTGCATCTATTAAAGTAAAGAAAGAGGTATACATAAACGAGTGTCTTACCAAAAAACGTCAGAACCTCCTGTATAGAGTCAGAAAACTTAAGCGGGAGAATAATGACACAATACACCAATGCTTCACACGGGATGGGAAAATTCTAGTTAGGAAAACAAATGTAGGTCAACTGTACACAATCACGAACGAGAATGATCTATCACGATTTCTCAGGGATACTGATCTTACAGAGAATAACAAAATGTCCAACCTAAAAGCCTACGAATGTAGTGTATGTTT